GATCTCAAATGCTTGCTATTTTTCACGATAAAAATACTCTGTAATATAATGAAAAATATGTCATAAGATGTCATTTAGCTTATGACGCACAGAATGTCCTGATGAAATGTATGAAACAATGAAAATGTATTTTCAAATATTAGTCTTCGGTGTGTGTGTGTAAACATGGGAAGCGTTGTGTGTGTAGACAAACATGGGAGATATTATATATAATACCTCCCATGTTTTTCTACCACATTTATTTGTAGGACCAAAAAGTAGTTTTTAATCGGGCCCTATTCTGTTATAGTCAATTGCAAAATTCCTGATTATTTTGAAGGGTCCAGCATGAGGTTCTTAAGAGCTGAATAGAGAAGCAGTCTAATAATGGGTACCAAGATGCTCATTAGGCACTTTTCCAAATGTGTCGGGGAAGGTATGTGAACATTTCTCAACTTTTTATTCTTAGAAGATTCAGAGTGTGGTTCACTTGGGACACTCTGCTAAAAAGTAGAGTGAACATATAATAAAGGGAATTGGGGACCATGGGCACCACTGCATACCCTACCCCCTCACAGCTCCCAGGAGCCCTGATGGTGAGACAACACAGAGGCCTGTGGCCAGGCTCCATCCCCACACAGAGGCTGGGAGCAGCCCCTCTAACCGGCCACCACCATGAAGGTGCCTGGGGCCACCAAGTGCAGCCTGAGCCCTGGCAGTGGCTGCAGTGGCAGGACACAAGGCTGCCAGTGGCGGGTGGCCATCCCTGCTCACACTATGAAGGTGCCCAAGCCCTGACCCCCTCCTGGCCCATTCCTCTCCACCCCAGCCCATCGCTGTCCCAGGCGGAAGGAAAGGACCGTGCCTTCAGCTGCTGCTCAGCATTAGCTGAGCCAGGCACTGCCTACAGAAGCTGAATCGAGGAGTTTTGTTTCAATTTACACCAGCCAGCTAGGACAGCCTACAGAATCCAAGATTCTTCCAGACAGTTCAGAATGTGTGGTCATGCTAGTTATACGGCCTTGCAGTGGGAATCGATAGGATGCAGGCCATCTTCTGACAGAATATTCTGTCCTATCTTATCCCATTTATCTCAAAAGGTGAAGTACAAGGGTCAGTCAGAAAGCAATGCCTCCTATACTTTTTTCCTTAATGAGATATAACTGAAAAAATATTAGACTTGTACTGAGCACTTTCAGTTTATTCTTCCCAGTCAATGGTCTTTTGCCATCTGTGAACAAGGACACATATCCCAACATCGTTAGTCCTTGTTCCTGTTATGCAGTGACTGTTGCATGGCCTCCATCACTTGGTTGTCGTTCCAAAAACATCCCTCTCGTAGTCCATTCTTCATCTTCAGGGCTGTACAAAGGATGTAGCAGTACAGTATATTCAAACTATGAGACTGTCACTGGTGCACAAACTGGTATGTGGGCAAGTTGTCATGCAGAAACAGCAGTTCAGGCATGTCTTTGTCGGGACAGGATATTTGCATGCAATGGTTCAGGTTCTTTGTTTGCTTTAACATAGACCTCAGAATTTACTATGGCTCCCTTAGGTAGGTAGTGAACATCAAGAATACCCTCCAAATCCATGGCTTGCTTTTGGAGGTCAAAATTAGGAGGCATTGCTTTCTGACAGACCTTCATGTTGTCAGGGTACATGCCCTTGTTAACCAGCTGAAAACACAGTCTTCTCCATCAATGACCTATGTTGAAAAATAGCCAGGTGTTCAGCAACAATATGAAAACTTTCTGCGCAGGTTTAATATTTTTTTCAGTAATTTTAATTGGGAAAATAGGCATTTCTTTCAGATTGCCCATTGGAATTCCATTCTCAAACAAGTATAATGAAATCGTATTTATATGCTTTTGATTTAACTCGAGCTGGGTCTTAACCTCCAAGGATGGAGATTCCACAACCTCTGGGTAACCTGCTCCATGACTCATCAAAAGCGTGCAAGTATGCTTTCATTACACCCTTGTTTGAGAATGAAATTCCAAGGGACATTGAATCCATGAAACTACTCTTCTAGTGAGAAAATTCTTCCTAATATCTAACTTAAATTTTCCTTGCTGCACTTGAGACCGCTGCTCCTTGTTCTGTCACCACTGAGAACAGTCCAACTCCATGCTCTTTGGAACCACCCTTCAGGTAGTTGAAGGCTGCTATTGAATCCCCTCTCAGTCTTCTCTTCTCCAGACTAAATGAGCCCAGTTCCCTCGGCCTCTCCTCATGAGTCATGTCCCCCAGCCCCCTCACCATTTTTGTTGCCATCTATTGGACTCTCACCAACTTGTCCACATCCTTTCTGTAGTGGGGGGCCCAAACTGGACACAGTACTCCACAAGTGGCCTCCCCGGTCCTGAATAGAGTGGAATGATCATGTCCCTTGACCTGCTGGCAGCAACACTTACCAGTGTAGCCTAGTGTGCTGTTAGCCTTCTTTGCAACAAGGGCACACTGCTGGCTCATATTCAGCTTATTGTCCACTGTAACCCCCAAGTCTTTTTCTGCAGATCTACTTAGCCAGTTGGTCCCAAGCCTGTAGTGATGTGTGGGATTGTTCTGTCCTAAGTGCAGGACTTTGCACTTGTCTCTGTTGAACCTCATGAGATTCCTTTTGGCCCAATGGAATATTGCTTTGCTTTATTGTTTGTTACGATGATTTTTATAAAAATGTTCAAGAGATGTGTGTGCTCTTGGTGTTTGCATCTGTTAATAGTATAGCAAATCTAATTTACTACTTATGTGTTGAAAAGTGAAACAAAAACACACAGATACAAAAAGTATAAGAATGAATAGGTAAAGGCCAGTAAATGTTTATCCTGTATCTGTTTTTATTTCCAAGCAGATGCATCTTCTTGTTATTTATACCATTTGAATCTATACCTATATTCAGGACGTAAAATCTTCTTTTCCAGTGCATGTGCATAGAGATGACCATCGCAGGCTGCAGAGTCGACCTACACGGGGCAAATCAACCTGTGCAAATCAACACACAGCTGGCCCAGCTCCGCGGGGGCCACCCAAAGCATGGGGCCAAGGGCAGTTGCCCCAATTCGCACCCCCCAGGGATGGCCCTGCATGTGAGATGATTCTCCAAAAGAGTACCATCAGCTACTAGATATTCTGAATTTGTTTTTAAAACGAGTCACTAGTTGATTGCACAGATAATTCATCTGTAGGAGGTTAACTATTTAATGGACGAGATGCAGACTGCAAGAAAAGTGGTAAAATAACTCTTCCCTCTAAAGGAGAGAGTGCTTAGGTTCTGAATAATAGCAGTGTGACCACTGGGTAGCTGTGAAATTTATAGTGTTGTCACGTTCACTTTTCTGGTACCTAGATTGTTGGAACTCTGGCTACATACTGGGGCAGAGGAGTCGATAGTAGGATCTGTGAAATGGATAAAATAACAGATATCCCTGTTACTGTTGCCATCACCTTTGAATAGCCAGGTAACTCTATAGGCAGAATGGTGAGAAACATTCTTCCTTCTAGTTGCCCAAGGATGTCTGGAGTGAAAGGAGCTTCATGTTTATCAAAGATAAATGGGGAGAAATTCCTGGAATGGCACCACACTACAAAAATCTTTCTTCTTTTTTTTTTTTGTCAGAATTTTGGAGAGTGGTCCATTATTTTCCAGGTGTTGCTTCTGGATAATGGAGTCAGAGCCTGTTGCTTGTAAGTCATGTTCTCAGGCTTGCCAATGAATGGAAGATTTCCAGAGCACAATGTGAGCAGAGCAGGGGAGAAAGAAATTGATTTAAACTTGAGAAGTCTGTTTAGAGAGAGTCCGGGTAGAAGAAAGAAAATATATAAAGCAGGATAGCTGAGAGCTCAACTGTTAAGTTATGGGGAAAGGAGCTGGAAAGAAGAGAGGAACCATAAGCTATTATAGGAAAGAAAATTGGGAGCAGTGCCCAGAAAAGTTGACCAAAGCCAGGGAGATAAAGTGAGTAGAGCTGTTGCAATTGATACAGCTTATTAAAGAATTGCACTGTATTACATGTATTGCACTATTTCTCAAAAGCGTTTTCATATTTCTCAATGAAAGGCCAAATAAGGTAGATGAACAGCTAGCTGTAACTTATTATTAAATTTAGATGCATATTTTATATAGAACTCAAGTCGTAACAGTTTTACAGATGGTTTGAAAATGCAAACATAACTAAATGTTTTCATCTGAAGAGTCTGATTATATTTTTTTATGTAAATAAATGTATATTGCTTTCTGCCATAACAATTTCTGAGTAAGATCTTAGAAGTACTTCAGGGTTGTTCCAGAAGTACAGCTAAGAATAGAGTTTAACAGAATACTCCTTTTTCTTCACTGTAGTCTGAAAGATTTCATTCCCTCTTTTAAACGCAAAGTCAGTCACCTTATAGATAATTTCTTTCAACTAACATCTGGGGCTTAAACCTTCCCAAAGGGGCTTAAATTTTCCCAGAGCAATGAAAAATTCTTCCTTTTGCTGTGACCAGCACAAGCAGTCAGTGAACAGAGGCCCTATTAGCAGTGTCAGAGTGCTACCAGCTCTCCCTGTCCTCTTGTTATTCGCTTGTTTCTGGAGTCAAGTTGAATTACAGCAGTTTGGCCCCATGAGTGTGACCAGAGCTGCCCTTATTAATTATACTTGCTGCAAAGACTTTAGCATTTGAAAACTACTGTTTGCCAAGTATATCATGGAGGAATGGGGTTGAGAGAGCCTTTGTTTCATACATTAGTATCTGTAGACCACTGAATTAATATAGAGAAGTGAATTTTGCATTGCTTAATCTGCATAATGCTTCTGTTTTAAATCCATCTGTAATGTGTATAGCATTTTGTCTTGTTGAATCTAGTGTTAGTGTTTAGAGGATGACTAGTGCTGTATCATAGGCATGTGGAGAGGAGAGTTAAGGTTATTGTGTAAATATATTAATCTTTCCTTTTGAAACTCAATCTCTGCATTTACCTCAAGAAATAGACCATCTCCTAAGAACGGCTAGTGTTTCATAGTAAAATTTTTCCAGAAAAGAATTAGAGCGCCAAACTGTAAAATGACGGGATAGTAGTACCTTTTGGCCCTGAAGGCCAGATAAATGGCATGGGGTTGAGCTGTGGACCGAATGAGGCCCTGCGCTGGTTCCACCTGACCCTGCGCACCTGGGTTGGGCATTGCACAATCTCTGTACATTCAGATCAGGCCCTACAACACCCTTGTGTGATAGGTTCAAGCCCTGTGCCAGGATCCAGTCATGGTAATCCCATGTGTTGGGATTAGGCCCTGGCATCCTGTCCTGCCCCTACTTTGCATGCTGGGATTGGGCCATGTGTACTGGGTTTGGGTCCTAAGCTGCCATGCTCCTGTGACTTGGCCCTTGCCCTGCCCTGTACACCCAATTTAGTAGGCATAGATGTGCTATTGGATAGCAGGAGAGCACTGCTACCCTTGCCACCAAGTTTTTTCAGACCCATGGGGAGATATTTTGAGCCAGGTAACAGCACTGGGGGCTATATCAGGGGTTGAGCACCCCGATATCCAAAACTTAAGTAGTGGGGGAAACAGTAGAATGAAAACCCACTAGCAAGTAGAAAAGGCTTTTACACCTAGGGTATGGCATTAAGGAAAAACTTTATGTAAAACATGAGGGCATAACCAAATACCCATGGTCATTGCCATACCATCTTGCCTCCTAATAGTCACCTATATAGCCATGGGAGGAGAACAGGTTGAGAAGGGAGATGCTCCCTGAACGACTGTCCTAAGAGGGTATCACACAGTATGGAAATTTTTGAGGAAAAAATGCTTCCTTGAATATCTTCTTCCTGCTCTTGAAGTTCTGTTGATTTGACTGTGCTAAGCATAGAAAAGGATATAAAGACAGCATTACCATATGAGATGAAATGTTTCACTAAAATATTGTTTATATAGGTGATGTGTTAAGATGCTGTGTATCCTGAATAGAACTGCTGGCTATTCCTATCAAATGCTGTAAATAGGTGTAGAGTAGGACTCTGAAAGTACTGCAGCTTTGAACTCAGACTTTGACCTGTAGTTTTCCTGGGATTTCTTCAAGGCAAAGGAAACCTGAAATCTACACTGTGTAGCACATGATTTTTCTGATTTACCTGTTGTCAGGCAGACAGCAAACTCATTTCTTTTTGAGGCTTGATGTTTAAATAAAATTTTGGTTACTTTTAATGTTGACACATTATGCAATTCAGATAGTACTAAGTGCTTTAGCAGATCTCTTGTCCTTCTCTGTGTTGTGTTATACTCACAAGTGTTCATTTATTAACTTGTTCTCTTCCAGATCGCTGATCTTCAGCTCCATAAACTGGATGAACTGGACTGCTTGATCCAAGGCTTGCTTTATGTTGATTCTGTTGGTTTCAATGGCCAGCCAGAATGCTATTATTTTGAAAATCCTGCAGATCCTGAACAGTGTCAGAAAAAACCTTACTGCCTTGATAATCCATATCCCATGTTGCTGGTTAACATAGGCTCAGGGGTCAGCGTTCTAGCAGTGTATTCTAAGGACAACTATAAAAGAGTTACGGGGACCAGGTAAATATACTAATGCAATGCATAACTTTGCTGGTGAAAATACATCTGAATTTTCATTTTCCTTGAGGTTGTTCTGTGTAAGATATCGGTTTAACTCCCTGGGTCACATGTGCTTCTTTCTCCATGCATCAGATTGTGGCCCTTCTCACCACATCTGTAAGATGACAAAATCATCTAGGAGTAAGACTGGAGCACCATATTTCAACCTCAGTGCCCTTACTGCATAGGAAATATTAAGACAGACAAGAGATGTTAGACCAGGGGTGGGCAATTATTTTGGCTTGAGGGTCACTTAATGAGTTTTGGTGACCTGTCAAGGGCTGCATCCATCTTTGTCTCTCTCTGTCTCCCTCTTTCCAGAACCCAGCTGAAACTGTAATTTGCCAGGAGCACCCCCCACCCCTCCAATGTTCAGCTGTGGATCTAGATGGGGACTCAGTGGGTGAGCGGTGGCATCAGTTGTGGATACCACTGGCAGGTTCTGCATTGGGGCTCCTGAACTGGCTGGTGGCATCCACAGCTGATGCCGTTGCCCATCCACCACAGTGGAAGCCCCTGCCCAAAAGCTGATGCTGCTGGGCAGAAGAAGTCCTGCCTGCCCACCTGGCACAGTGGAAACAGCCCCTAGCCACCTGGCACCATGTGGCAGCCGGAACTGGAGCTGCTGGCTGTCCACAGGCCAGATCCAGTGAGTTGATAGCTTGCCCGTGGACCATAACAAATGTGTTGATGGTCTGGAACTGGCTCGTGGGCTATATTTTGCCCACCCTTGTGTTGGACCTTGATAGATGCTAGGGAGCATTGGCCATTAGGGCTCATAGGAAGCTATTTTTTCCATGTGGTGTTTTCTTCTGACCAATAGGGAAGAAATGGCTGAGGCTGTGAAGGGTTGGGAAACTGGGAATAAAATGATGATTTATTATTTTAAGACAAGGGAAGAATGAAGTTAGCAGAACTAAACCATTTGATTTCAACAGAAGAATTCAACTGACTTAGGAAATGGGTAAAGTCCCATGGGAGGACAGACTGAAGGATAAAGTGGCCCAAGAGAGCTGGCAGTTCAAGGGCACATTGGTAGTGCAAAAAGCTATTCTGACATGAAGAAACAAGGATAGCAGGGGACCAACATAGTTGCAGGAGTTCTCTGCCTCAAAATGTAAAGATAACATAAGGACAGGCAAACCGCCATACTAAGAAATAGCAAGAACTCACACAGGCAGAATTGGAGAGGTACAGTTGAAATGAATTATACCTGGTTAGGAAGACGAGAGCAAAAAGAAATAGTTCTGTAAAGATAATGTGAATCTGCAGCTGAATAGCCAGGGTGAGCTATAACAAGATATGAGAGCATGAAGCTGCTCACCAGCTGTTTTGCCTTTGCCTTCGCACATGCACGCAAAAAAACTTGTAACAAGAAAGCTAATGAAGTCATATGGACAAGGGGAAAAGCAGAGGATCATGATAATGAGAGACCATCACAGAGCTTTTTGATTGGTTTGAATAACTAGATCAGTAGGCCTGATGAACTTCATCCCACAGTACTGAAAAAAAAATAGCAGAAGGGACTTTGGACCTCTTGGTAATAATATTTAGGGAGTCGTGGGAGATGGGTAAGGTTCTCAGAGGACTAAACAACAGCTAATGTGGTCATCCTCCCTCCCCCTTTAAAAAAATAAGCCCCGAAGAAGCAAAGGCTGCCAGCGTACATTGACTGAAGAACAAACCATGCCAAACCATTTGATCTACTTGAACAAAGCAGTGTATTTTCTTGAATCCAAGACAAACTGTTCTCATTTGTGGCTCCAGCCAATGGCACAAAACGCATGCTGCCTGCAGTCCCCACCCAAATCGGCAGCAGCAGAGGCAGTGGCTGGCACCTCTGGCTCCAGCTTCAGCTTCAGCTGAGTCGTGGAGCCAGGGCTAGAGCCAAAATTAATGCTCCCGCAACCACTTCTGCTTGGCTAGGCAAGGACCAGAGCCAGCATGTGCTCCATACTCCAGGCCAGAGCAGGGTTGGAGCCAGAGCCATGACTGAGGGTAAGCCAGACTTTGGTGGAAGAGAAGTATGGGGGGGGTGGGGAGGGAGACAAGTGAGTGGGGGGGTATAGGGGTAGGCCACTCCCTCTCTCTCCACCTGCCCTTCCCCTCCCACTGCTTTCTCTGCTGCTGTTGTGGGGAAAATGTATTTAAGATGACCCTCCAATAATTTTCTGTGTATAAATTGTAATGTTTATAAATTCTCTATGAATAGAATCTAATTATTGGAGGGTTGTCTTAAATGTAAAACTGCCTTGCAGTGGGTTGGAGTTGGGTGGATAAAGGCAGTGTAGAGGACCTGGTATACTTGAACTAAAGTAAGACTTTTAATATTAAAAGTCCCACATGAACTTCTATTGGAAACCTATTGGAGGGTAGGAGGAGAATTAAGAAGTATCCTGATAGTTTGGAAATCTGGGCTGGAAACAATAATTTGAAGTTCGGTGCAGACAAAATACAGAAGAATAATCAAAAATGAAAATATAGAATGAACTAGCTGGTTTGCAGTATTGCAGAGAAGGATCTTGGGATCCTTGCATCTGCTAACTTATGCGAGTCTCTAATGCCATGGCAAAGAAAGGAAATGCAGTTTTGGGCTGCATCAACAAGTATTAGGTATAAGACATGGGAGGTGACAGGACGACTACTTGGTGCATGTTAGGCCTCATCAGTAGTATTGTATACAGTTCTGGGTTTCACATTTTAGGAAGAATGTGGAAAAGTTGGGGAAGGTTAAGAGGTAGGCAGTTAAGTTGCAAGAGGTTGGATGGCAACCTGAATGAGGAAAGGTTGAGAGAACTAGATGGACATACAAGAACAAGTTGAGAAAACTAGGTGTTTAATTTGTTTGAATGCTTGTAGAAAAGGTGATGTAAGGGAGCACAAGTGTCTGAAAGTGTTAAAGTGTCTGAAAAGCTGCTATAAAGAAGGAAAACTTTTTTTCTTTTGCTGCAAATGGCAGGATGCAAAGCAGTGGCTTCAAATAATAGCGAAGTAGGTTTCAATTGGGTATCAGGAAAAGCCACTCTGGCTCAGTGATCAGCTGCAGGGGGACCCTGGGTGCCCTCCCCAGACCCAGGAGGCACCAGTTGCTGAGGTGTGTGAGGGGGGGCCCTGCACGCTCGGCAGTGGACAAGAAGTGCTTCTGGTCCACTTCCGGGTCCACTGTCGAGCGCACTGGGGACTCCCCCGCGCTCCTGTGAGACGCTCCATTCACCCCATCATCTCCACATTTACAAGCCACCTGGTACCTTGAGGTATATAGAAAAAACATGTAAAACTGTCTGTTTCAATAATTGAATCTCTCTGAATTCATTTGAAGGGTTCCAATTCGATTCAGAGAGATTATAGGGTCTCCCGATTCGATTCAGATTCGGCTGCCAAATTGGGCTGAATCTGCTGAATTGAATCAGTGCCTGAAGCTTTGCACAGCCTTACTATGTTTATGACAGAGATTATGGCAGCAGCTAGGTCCTGGCACCAGCTCTCCTCGAACCTGGACTGGGTCATTTCAGTTCACTTCTAGAAAATGTTGCTAACCACTGCTCTAGGCCATGTAACTCCATAGTTCCCTAGTTTTCCTCTTTCTAATTAAGAGGTCTGGGGGAACTATAGTTATGGACATTCCTTGTGGTATGACTCCAGCCATAGATGGAGCCACAAGTGTCTCTTCAGCTCTTCAAATTGTAGATGTAAATTCTTGGAGTAGAGCAGAAAAATGGGAAATGAGTAGGAATGGGGGCTGAACAATGTGGCTAAAACTCCTTAAATTAATTTGGTGTCTAAGAACTCTGCTCTCATTCTAGTCTTGGAGGTGGAACATTCCTGGGCCTGTGTTGTTTGCTGACGGGTTGTGAGACCTTTGAAGAAGCACTAGAAATGGCAGCTAAAGGAGACAGCACTAACGTTGACAAACTGGTGAAAGATATTTATGGAGGGGATTATGAACGATTTGGCCTTCAAGGATCTGCTGTGGCTTCAAGGTACATATTAACTTGGTTGGCTTCAAAGAATTCAGTAGAAACTTGCTGTGCCCCCTAAACTTTTCAATATGCAGAATTATTCATGTTTGAAATTCAGCTGGCTGTATAGAGTAGGATCTCTTGCTCCTCGTTCTTGTTTTTTAATAAACTTAGAAGTATTCAGTGGAAAGGCTATAGTTCACTTTCACTTAAAATGCAGTCTTTTTGGATAAAGAAAAACCTACTTTCTCATTGTAACTATTTTCACCCACTGTGTTTCTGTTCTTTAAGTCCTTTTCCACTTATTCTTGCTATGCCGAAAGTCAAGGGTAGGGTTGGCCAATATGTGGCATGGGTGCTACAAGTGGCCCAGGCAGCCTGTCTGTGTAGTATGCAGCAGATTGGGGAGGGGACAGCAGCATGATGGTATATAGGGCAGAAAGCAAAGCAGCAGATCAGGTTAGGAGCACAGGGCTGGGATCAGAATGCAGAGCAACAGATCAGACTGGGGAAGGAGATTTGGAGTGGGGCATGGGAGTGGGCCATGACTAATTTGTGACAAACCTACTAAAAAAAGTTGGTTCCCCACTGGTCAAGGGCATCAAATCCAAGCAAAATTGTATGTTTTCATGGATCTACTTGGCTAAATTTATCTTGCAACTTTTCTAAGTACTTTGCATGTGAAGGGTTGGTCTCTTCCCTACAGCTTTGGCCATATGATGAGTAAAGAAAAGAGAGATACCACCAGCAAGGAAGACTTGGCTAGAGCTACTTTGGTCACTATCACCAATAACATAGGCTCTATTGCTCGAATGTGTGCACTGAATGAGGTAAGACTGCAAATTCACTTTGGTTGAGACCTCTAGCAGCAATCTAATAAATGGATGAAAACATGAAGTGTATATTGCATGTATGACTCTTCTAGATAGATGCAAATGCATTTAATTTTAGCTTCCAACTCTTGCAGTCCACTATTAACATCTTCTATAAAGGACATCTCACTTGCATGATGTTAGGATTCCATGAAAAGCAAGGGTTTTTATAATAAATATGTACTTTAACTAACCGTCTGTTCATTTATTCTCACTGCTAGATCACAAGAACATTAATGTTTTATTACATCAGTGCTTTTAATTATTTCTTGATGTAGCAGCTTTTTGTTACTCCATAACCAAGCATGACTGCAGCAGTTTATGTACGCTACCTTTTTTGGCTTCTGTGGTCTACCTATTGAGAATCTTTTACTAAATTAAAATGCTCTAATTTTCTGATCCAAAAATACTGTGGAAGGATATCATCTTGAGTCATACATATTTTCAGTATTCTCTTTGCTTTCAGCTTCTTTACAGTGTTGCCTTGTGGCATGGAGTTCAAGCAGCATTGTACAGGGCTATCAAAGCGGAGAGAGCTGCAGCAAAGTGACATGTGTTGCATTAAAAGGAAAAAAAAGCACCCTGTGATATTCTGCAACAGGTTTAGCCACTGGGAGAAAAATCTTAAATCTTTTTTAAAGGGATAGGTGCTTTCATTTTTAATCTACAGAATTAACTAGGGGTGTAGTCAGGTAGAATAAATAACTTGCATTTACCTCAGAATAGACTTTCTATACCAGCACTTCATGAATTTAATTAATCTTGTTTATGCTTATTTCAGAAGTGTGACATAAAAATGTATTTGTGATATGTGAAAGTATTTGAGCATAGAGAGAAATCCTAGACTAGCCGTGAGGAGTTAGTTCCTAATCTAAAAGTAGCAACCTTGCAGGAACAAACTTTCAATGAGGTCCCTGTTAGTTAATCCACTGTTCAGTTTTGACTCTCTTTCCAAAAAATGCATGGTAGAACATAAGAGATTTCCCTTTTCTGAAATCCAAAGTAGAGGCAAATTGAATACATTTAGCTAGGTTATGTCAATTGGTTAACCTGGAATAATTTGGCTAAAGGCAGAGTAGGTTTACACCTTTTATAGACTAATCAAATTGTATGTAATGGACTCACTTCATCAAAAGCTTATGCTACACATACCTCTAATTTAGTTAGTCTAGAAAATGCAAATCTATCTTGCTTTCTGCTTGACTTAAATCATTTGGCTACACATCACTGAAATTCTGTCCCGTGCACCATAGACTTGCAAAAAGGAATCTCTTCCTTGGTGCATATCAGCAACAGCAGAAAAATATGCAGGGGCTGTGGGGAGCAGCAGCTGTGGCACCAGCTCTAACTCCAAGTCCAAGTTGGGACCAGAGATGGAGCTAGAGTAGCCACCTGAGCCCCCACTTGTACTGGAATCCAAAATGAAAGGCTTTCACTACCCCCCCATGTTGAATGGGACAGGGGGGACTTAGTCTTGGATTTTAGTAATTACAGTAATTTGCATTGTATCTTTTCCTTATCTGGGCATTTCAGCAATTTAACAAAAAGGTTCTATAATGTATAGATCAGGCTTGTCCAACATACAGCCTGTGGGCTGCTATGCAGCCTGCCAAGCCATTTTATCTGGCCCACGGCGGTGGCAGTGCTGCCGCCGCGGATTGCGAAGCTGCGGCAGCACCATGGAGCACGGAGCAATGGCAATGCGGAGCCGGCGGCGGCGAGGCGGGCAGGGAGCGCTGCAGAGCGGTGGCGCGGAGCCGCAGCGGCGAGGGGTCCGGCCTGCAGGCCCCAGCCGGCAG